TTGTAGGTATAGGTATTGTAAGGGTGGGTGGTGTTGTTTTCGGTGTAAGTCAACGGACGGGTTCGCCCTGACGGTTGAGGGATGTAGGTACTGTACTGTAGGTAGCTTGTGGTACAGAAAAGACGTGAATTTGGTTCAGGGAACTACTGCTGGGATGGGCATGCCTGGGAAGGGGGAGATTCTAATTTTCGAAAGGTGAAAGCTGTCTTTTCGGGGAACGAAAAGTCTAGAGGATACGTCTCCGATGCGCTCTTCGACAGAATCCAGCGTGCGGAATCCGTCTGTGGCGGGTTTAATGCCCAAGTTGGGCTTTGGGTATCAATACTGCCGAAAGGGATACTCAGACTCTGAATAAGCGAGACCTGTGGCTGGTATGTTCTACATACACCACTAGAAGACCTGGATTAGACGCACACAAAAGAAGTTGTTAAAATAAAAACAAAAGAAACCCTTTGCTACGGTTTGTGGTTTTTCTGTGGCTCTGCCATTGAGGCCTGTACGACGACTGCATGTGTGTTTTCCAGAGGGAGCAATCAACCATCAGCTCAGGAGGTGGTGGGAAGGGGGTGGACTGGATTGGATTGGATTGGACTGGATTGGGCTTATGCGGTAGCCGTCGACAACGCACATCGCAGCAACGTCATGTCAGCGGTGGCATAGACACTACACAATGATATTATTTGCTTATTTGTTCGTAGGATCTAGTCCAGGTTACAGCCAGACGCTTCTACACAACCATTCCCCTTTCCGCATCTCCTCTACAGGCTTACCATGAGCAGAGAGGCATGGCGGCATGGCACGGCAAAAGAGGGTCTTTGTTCGAGCTCCAAGGCCCACCGTCTTGCCCCATTCGGGGGCCATACAGCAGTAGTAATAAGGGAGCCTGCATTAGCCACCAGCCGCCCGCGCGCGCTCAACCGGGGGCGCCCTAGAGCTGGACGACGCGATGTCCGCCTATGGAAGACCTCGACGACGGAGCGGTCCTGGTGTGCTTTGGCGAATGCTGCAGCGGCACCTCCTTGGGTGAGTGCTGTATTCGCCGCTGTCTGCGCTGCACCGCCTGTGAATGGGGGAGGACGTGGCAGAACAATGACAGAGCGGTAGCAGAGCGGTCTGCGCACCCTTGCCTCCCACTGAACACTTGTTCGGCCACAGAGCACTGGTGGGAGTGGTCACTGACGGTGTAGGGCTCTCCCGGATAAGCGGGACTATACCGACGATGGGCGAATGACACACGATGCTTCGTTCCGGCGTATTTCATTATGGGGAGTCGGCAGGTGTACATACCTACTTGTTAATGGTGGAACCACGATTTGGTAGGCACTATTCCTACACCTCGTGAATGCAGTCTGTATTTTGCTTGCTTCCATGTCTACCCATCATCTGTAGTGAGCTTCCCAATGAATCCACACACGTGTAATCGATAGAATTAACATTCCAATTCTGAAGCGGACGCGGTGTCGATCCACATGCTGTATACAGCTTCCGGTCAAACTACTGATGTTGTTATTGTCGTCCTCAACCGCCCCCGCCCAGAGAAACCCCCAAGTCGTAGGCAACAGATTTCACAATGGACCTAGTTCATGCAAGTCGATTGGCTCGCCCGGTCTGCTAAGACAGCGTGGGTGGCTGTCTCGACCGTATGCATGCAATCCTACAGTACATTTCGTAGTCTAGATGTTGAAGAAGGACCACCCGTTTACGTGGGATGGATACACCACTTACACAGGCAGGTCGTGAAGATTCTTCCTTGATCTGCTCGATATAACAGGTACGACGCATAAGTCTTGCGTATGTGAGCCGTAACCTGCTATTTCTACCTGTGGTTCCTCTGCAAGTCTAAAGACGAAGAGTGCACATATTTGCTAAGTAATATGTGTCTTCTAACTGGTCGTAGACATACTCGCTCATACGAGGTTGTCGCCGAAGGCTGATCGTTTCTATATATCGATCCTCCGGAGGCGCCTTCTCGTACCCCATCGAAGCAAATTTCTGATTCAGTGTAGACAGCAAAGCACCCGTCCAACTTTAAAGGCTTAGCAAAAGGAAGCTTGACATTGCTGCGATGGCTCGTATCTAGGGATCGTAAAGTATCGTACAGCGTGCAAATTTAGTCCTCATCTGTATAAAACTCTAGAACACATCGTCAGTATACCCCCCACTTACGGTCAAGATGAGCTGTGATAGGTCACGTACAAGTGCCCCTATCATGGTATGCCGTATGACCTCACGCAAGTCCACACTAATCCGAGTAGCAATATGTGCATAAAACAATTATTCGTCAACACTATACGCATACCTGTCCCAGTCATGGGGTTTAATGTGAATCAATCGATAAATCGTGAAGACAACCTCGTGGTGGGGGTTTCTTGGCACTAACCGACGATGGATAGGGACAGCGAGCCACACCGCTCTTTTAGTAGGTGTGTATGTAAGGGATAACCTTGTAGCCCCGTTGCGTCCCAACCTTCAGGATAACGATGCTGGGCTATGCCACGATCTCAGACTAGGTGCTTTTTGGTAAAGCTCCTCTCCTGGAGTTGCGGCAGTATCGGGGGTGACGTGGTTATTCCTGCTCGGCAGAAGACGGATCCCCAGGCTTCTCTGGCCAGCCCCCTCTGCATCGTGGCAGACGGCCGTGGCCGTGACGATGAGCAGACTGAAAGGGTGAGACAGGTCCCGGATATTGCCGGCTTCCAGATTGATCCTTGGTCTCAGACTACGATTCGAGACCAGACATCATTCACAAAGGGTCGACATATGCGAGTGCTCTTGCTGCTCATATAGTTCCTCTCGATTGTGTCGCCGGCGAGACCACTCCTGGATCCAGCTGGTTCTGTCTTGCTTGCGTGCGTGAGGTGGACTAGACTGTCTATAGAAGACAACAGTTTACACCCGATTCTTGCAGCATAGTTCCGGTTGGGTGAGCCATAAAGTGGATGAGAAGACATCAAACATCCAGACAACCGCCCTCCGTCAATGAAAATTCGTCGGAATAGTGCCCCGAGATGTTAATACAAGATGATGTGTACCATGCCATAGGCCCGTGATTGCGGGTATCGTCTGTCTGTATGATCAACATCAGCGTAGGTTCAATCCTGATATTCTTTCTACAAGCACCACAGTCTAATGACTTTACAACCAGGCCGAGAATGCAGAGCCACGGCCATAGCAGATGAAAGGGGTTTGTTACGAAATCCAACATCCTCACCGCCTCCTCCCCAAGTCTTACCCGGGAAGAAGGGTCGAAGGACGGCGGTGTATCGGATAGATGTTACTCTCGGGCGGCTCGAAATACATCCGCGACAATGTGACAGGTGTTATCCTGTCTCGTCGGTTTTGATAGGGGTAAAGTTGAGACTGGGTTCGGTAGTTTGCAAGCTGTGTCATAGGGCGAGGCAATCACACCAGCCCCTTAACGAAACGGGGGTAGATTTTGAAGATGTCAGTGTCATTTTGAGCCCGCACGTATCTATTGTGCAAGGTATGTATAGTCAGTGAATTTCGAGCAGAGCTCACGGTGTCCAGTTACAGTCGGCACCAGGTCATAACTTGCCAAATCAGTGTTTCGATCTTTTGCTGAGCGGGCAGTGTTACCAGTCGCTCATCGGTGATGGCAAACGACATTGAGGTGGGCGATGCTGTTACGATCACTCGGGCACAAGTCCTAGCCACGTTCTCAAGATAGTTGCACAACATCCCCCTCCGTCTGAAATGGATACCGGGCGAGCTGGCTGCATCTCTTGGCGACCTGGCCATAAACGACACTGCGACGCTGCGATATCCAGGGACGGCTGACGAGCTGTTTATTAACTGTTCCAGACATCCAGGTCATTACCAAGCCAGGGCCGAGTCCCAGCCGAGTGGGCCATGTGCGAAGCGCGCAGGTTGTGTAACGAGGCGGCAGCAGCCGTTGCAGGAGCCAAACTCGGTTCGAATCTGGGTGGTCGACGTCATTGTGAACTCGAACCCGGATCACGCAAAACAAGTCGCCATGAAACATCTCCACTCCCATGGTGAAGAAGGTGCAGGATCTTGGTCAGGAGTTTTGCTGAAATATTTCCTCCCGAAAATAACGGTTTTTTAGGACGGCCACGCCTTGGGCACTTGATCTAAGCAGGATCGACGATCGCGATACCGGCGACGACTGTGAACACCGTGAACACCGTGACCACGGCGTCGAGAAAAACTTGCTGTACATGCGGTCGGTGCTAGGTAGTGCTCTATGTCTTGGACTAGATTAGGTACACTCTGCGTTTACCTGGTTTGAATGCTGATTGGACACAACTACCTTCTTCCAGCCTCACGTGGTTGTAGCTTTCACGTGACAGCTCTCCAACGGAGGGTCCAGGTTGATTAAGTGCGCCTATCAAGCCGAGACATAAGACACATTAGTTACATTAGTAGGCGTACTATTTTTACTGCGGAGAGTCTGCTCCATCGTGAAAGGGTGATGGATGGTTTAGGGTTGGATTACCAGCCTGCAAGTCTGCCAGCCTGACCTCTCAGCAAACTCCAACTCCATCTCCATACCTACACGGGTAGAACCGAAGTGGGAAAGCCTGCAGGTGATGATAACGGTGATGATAACGGTGATGATCTACGACTCGGAGATTTTTACCTTGGAGCTCGCGGGGCTGATTAGTGAATTATAAGATCATTTGCCAACTTATCCCCTGCTGTATAATCAGTGCGCATGCATCCAACGTGGGTTTATATACATTGTCAGTCTTAAAACTGGTGTTCGACGAGAATGTTTCACAAAAAACAATCCTACAGGGAAGACATGCATTTACAAATACAAGCAAGATACCTACCTACCTACCTACCTACATGTTTAAAAGAACGGCCCGATATATCCCGTTACGGGAACCCGGGAGACAAGGTAAACCTGTCTTATCTCATCACTCATGACCTGCCCGTGCATGTTTTCTTTAGGAAGGCAACGGGCAGGCGGAGGAGGGGAAAAGATCCAAAAAATTGTGCAAGATCATATATCACTCCGAATCGGGGAATCGAACCCCGGGCTTGACGGCACCCCGGTGGGAAGGGATGAGAGCGTCAAATGTTAGCCACTACACCAATTCGGAGAAAATCGAAGGGTACAGGTGGGATCGAACCACCGGCATTTGGACTCGCGGGGAATCGAACCCCGGACCACTCCCAAACTTCTTGTCGCGGACTCTTCGGAAGAGAAGTGCCAACAGATGCTAAGGGAGTATTATACCACTAAACCACAAGCCCTGGAAAGGGGAAAGGAAAGCGACGAACTTCCTTGTTGTTGGTTCGCCAGTCGCTAAAATAGCTTTTGATGTTTGCGCTTGGTGCTTGGGTTGAAGCTTTTCATTGTTTGGTGGTTTCTGATAGGTTTTGGGTGGGGATGGTGTGGTGTCGCTAATGAATAAGGCCCCGGTTTGAACGAGTTAGGTTAAGTCGAACTTGAAAAGCGCCGACGGTGGTGGAACTTGAGCTTCTTAACCTACCCACATACGTAGTAGCATCTATTCTTGCTTATCTACACGGATAGGTATCGTGTGTCGTATCACCCCTCCAAAAGAGCTTCCTTCATTCACCTCTTCCACAAAGAAAAAAAGAAACAACCTGCGCACGCATGGCCATATCGGAGAATTTCCAAGCGAGAAATGGAGACATCAAGTCAACAACAGGTGGAAATCAGGTTTCCGAATCCTCCCGGTGAGGGGGAATTTGGGACCGTACGCAGTAGCTATGACTCTTAACCCGTCAATCCTCAAATTTCACCACACCTTGGTGGGTTACAACCGGGCTGTGGGCGGGTTGATAAGCTGTGTCATCTGATGCATGCCGAAGCACTCTAAAGGAGCACTTCTCCAAGGCAAACAAGATATTTCCCTCCCAGATACCTACTCTCGCATACTGTGCATTATGCAGCAGTGGTGTCTCCAGTCACACCGAAGGTGGTGAGAGGGTGGTGTGGTCGATAACGGTAGGTGGTATTTACTTGGTAGTATTTGGTATTTGGTATACTAATTGCTAGTGTAGGTTAGGTGAGTGAGGGCAGGTGAGGGGGGTAATATCAGTGCCGGACTGATATTCTCTGAAGGAGCAACTGATCTACTACGCTATCTGCGTACTAATTACTGTAGAGGTATGGGATTTTCTTGATGCCGATGCACCAAGTTGAGGATATCCATTTCTACCCAACGGTATATCTATTCTATTAGCGTCAGCAGTTATCAAGTCCCTTAGCAGAACCCTTAGGGGTCATAGGCAGTACAGTAGCTAAAAGTTAGGTGATCCTTCTGCGCCCTGTCACCACCATATACCGGTACCTAAGGTACTTACATACTTACTTACCTAAGGCTATTTGATAGTAGTCAGATACTATACCTGTTCGTCTGTGTCTTACCTATACTAAGCCTTGTACATTCACTTATATCCTGTCATGTATGCCTACAGCTTGGTACTTGGTAGTAGACATGAGACAATACCTACCTAACCTACTACTTATTACTACCTAGTGTAGTATATGACAGATGCAGCATATGCACTACATAATCAGACTTCTTTTTAGGAGAAGAAGAAGAAGAAGAAGAAGAAGTAACATGCCATCTGTCATGATAAGATAGCTAACCGCAGCAGCCGGGTTCAGCATCGTCTCGCTCATTCATTCTGCATTCATCATGCAAGGTACAACGCGGACGCGGTGCAGACATGCGCAGTCCCGATCCCTGGCCGTGCAGAGCGATCGACTCACTAAGACAGCAGCGAATGATACGAGAGCTCACGAGCCTCACCAGCGTCGCACACAGATGCACGCTCGCGTCGGGTACACAGGGCATGGCCGTGGAAGAGGGTGTGCGACCATGTCAGATGCCTTGTTTTCTATTTGACAAGACGAGACGAGCAGCATGATAGAGATAGTAGAGAGACAAATACATGTAGGTAGTGGGGGGGGGGAATACATGTGCATGTAGGAGGTAGGTTCTGTATGTAGTTGTTACCTTACCTAAGTCACTTACACACTTACACACGCGCCAGGCAATACCTAGTCTTGTTGTAGGTACTCTCGTCTTGCACTCGTATCCTCGCCCGGTTTTCTCACATCCTTCCCACACCCTCTTGGCCTGCGGTGTTCCGCTTTGGGAATATGTGCTGCTGCGGTGCGGGTGAGTCGTCGTGCCCTGCGCCCTGTGATTGATTCACTGCAATCCTGTCTACTTAAGTACTCTCTCTAGTCTAAAGGAAGCCATGTTGTGGGGTTCCCTCCAGATACCTACCCGTCTCGACAGCTGAGAGACCGGGATGACCACCACCCATCACCCATCATCCATCATCCATCGCTGCCGGCATAGTGGCATAGTGGCATAGTGGCATAGTATGTGTGTACTGTATACGACTTTCCTCCCTCCCACAAGGCAGCGGGTTTCGATCAACAGGTGACTAACCGAGCTCCTCCAGCCACCATCTCTTACACATCCCCTCCACATACATGTATGTACATATCTCTTCTGCCTGTGACAATGTATATATATCTGGCCTCACCGCCGTATTTTCCTGTTTTGTGTGCTTTTGATTTTTTTAACACTTCTGGCTCGAGGCTATGGCTTCTCTTCCTTGCCACTTTCACTACACCTTCTAAACATCTAGATCTGTAGAGACCGTGACCTCACTTCTCACCTCGCTCCCAACCCTTGGAGTTTGTTTTCACATCATTTGGGCTTGAAATGAAGACTTGGAAACCAGGCTTTTACCATCAAGGATCCTTACTCTATCACGCTCTACTATAATCACCCAACCACTATGCCTCTCCTGCCAGCAGATGCACGGAATGCAGTGCACCGGCAATCATGGCCGTCTACCGGGTTATGGCCCTCCAGTCCCAGCCGGATCCCACCGGCGCTGGACGAGGACAGAGAAGGGCTTTCCACAGACGATGAAGACTTCGACAACTTGTCAAGGCCCGAGAACCCTCTCAAATATTTCCTAACACCCGCAACCCCGCGAGAAGAGGAACTGGAGTTTGAGTTCGAGTTCGATGCAGGCATCGAGGACTCCAACAGTCCCCGCCAGATCGTCCGGAGTGTGAGCCCATCCACGCTCGACGGCCTCAGGCGGTACAAAGCCAAGAGCAAGGACAGAGACTGTGCCATCCTGGATGAAGACGACGACGACGACTATGAGAGCAGCGATGACGAGGAGGAGGATTATATAAGGTTCACCCCTCAGAAGCCACTCCCGTTCGCTCTCGACGACTACTTCGATCATCCGCGCCCCAACTCTCCCAAGCATAGAAACTCGGATGCCGCTCTGCTCTCACCATCATCACCCTCATTCCACGTGGGATCACCACGGGGCCGTCTAGCTAAGCGCTTCGCACCCCCGCCGCCATCGCGGCGCGTCAGGGCTCTCGGAAGGACGCTGCAGAGACGCCACTCATGGCGCGAACCCAGCCCAGACGTCTGGTCCATCGACGAGGAGCCGGAGAAGGAGACGATGAGCGAGATGGGGCTCAGCGTCGAGGATCTCGAGGATGCCGCTGGGGAGAAGAAGACTCGGCCTATAGACATACCGGCTGCGAAGCCCAGGAAGAAGAAGGTCCGGTTCGTGTTGCCGGCTACGGAGTAGTGGTTTACAATACATCTATCTGTCTACTCATCTCATTCATTGCATTGTTTCCGTCTGGGGAACGGGGAGGAAAGGAGGGCAATCTACTGCATTGGTACGGAGTTGGTGGTTTGGTTCTCGTTGCATCATGGTCATTCAGGTTTACCCATATATCCCCATCCGCATCGTCATCGTCATCACTTTTTCCTATGTATTTAGTGTCAGGTCCTCGGCATATACACGGCGTCTGGACAGGGGCGGCGGTTTTTTCTTTCTTTTTTCTATTTCATAGCATGCATATTAGTTGGTGGTAATACTCTCGGCTTTGGTTTCGGGGAACCAAAATTTCACTGGATATTACTGTTATAATCTAAACTAAACTTTTCATACATCATCACATCGTTTTTTCACCCGTATAAATGTGACTGTGATCAATGTATCGGTACCACTTCGCTGTGTTCACTGTGCCCCCCCACGTTCGTGTTTCGAAGATAACCAACATTCGTTACAAAATACAGACCATTTCCGCCGGCGATCTCCGAAGTACCAGTAAATTCCTACCATACTGTACAAGAGAGAGAAAAAAATAAGCTCATTCCGTATATTCCCCCTCCCTCAGGGTTAGCCATCAGCATAACAGCGAGAGATAATACATAGTAAAGGGCTAGTTACCCGATTAGGCGAGAACGTGAAGGATTTAAGCAATAAGATAGGGCAAGCGGGCAGGCAAGTCTGCGTAAGCCTCAACCCGGCCGAGTCCTTCCTGATCCGATCCGCTCCGAAGCTTTCTCCATCGTGGGTTGTAACCTAGGTGTGAGTAGTTAGTTCGGTTCGGATCCGCGCATGCACATCCATTTCTGATCCCGTGTCTCTATAGTGTGTGTGTAGTATAATAGGTAGTATGGTAGTAGTATACCGTACGTCGTCGCCTAAAGGTATTGCGTCTGTCTTACGCAATCTGATCGCAATACCGCGCACACGGGCACGCTTGCACAGCCGCCTTCGCTCATGTGCCTTGTTTTTTGTACCTGATCGTCGGGTCTGTCGGGGTTTACTATACCGTTTCTTGTGCTTCATGAGTAGGTAGCGACCATATCGATGAGGTCTTCGATTCGGTTCTTTGGGTATGTGAGTGGGTTCTTCATCGGTGTATTACTGCCTTACGCTTACATAGAGGGATCATATACTTGGTCAAGCCTGACGAGTGGTATGGTGCTAGTATTCGCTGACACTCGGCCTTATATCGATCGTACAGTACCTAAGGTACCTCTTGCATATGCAATGTACGATAGATCTAACGGCACATGTATAACCGATGTTTCATTGGATATTAGATATTTGTGATTAATCCCAGGATAAGGCATCACTTTGCGAGCTCGTGGTCATTTACTTATGAAGTCTTCTCTACCCTTACAGAGAAATTTCCCGGTTGGAAACAACAGTCTCAGCCCATGCGCTGTCTGTTGCCTCGTGTCGAGGGAACATTGTGCTTGTCTCACGACATAACGTACGGCATGAACCGACGCCGTCTACTTTTTTTCTATATCCTTTCTTTCTAGCGGTGAGACTTGTCATCTTACACCAGTCACCAGTCTACTTCACCTCATGAACATTAACTGCACTGGGAAGTGTAAGACTGTCTAAGTGCTACTAGCCTA